ATAAATATAAACTACATGTAACGGGTTGCCTAGATACTCACCTCCGCGTAAAAAATTACTTATCACATATCTCTTTAGGTTAGTTTATTTTTTATTTAACATCAAACACTTTTAAAAATTAAATGTCTTACTATAGGGAGAAGTGCACAGTTTCTTAAACTCTTATACATATTAAGTTGAATTATGAATGCAGGAAGCTACAAGACTTTGTATGAAAATAATCGCTATGTCATAAATAAAAACTATTTGCAAAGGTAAATCAGTTACAGATTTTGGCTCTTAGCCTCTTTCATGCCCTTCATGACAGAATTGACTTAATGATGAGGTAACAGAGAATGATTATTTGTGTAACATCATTCCCCATATATTGGCTGAAAATATGTTCCCGCTCTTGAGTAAGTAGTGTGTGTGTGTGTGTGTGTGTGTGTGTGTGTGTGTGTGTGTGTGTGTGTGTGTGTGTTTTACAAAAACCGCTGATTCATAAATCAAGAGGCAAGGCAATGGTAGAAATACTAGCTTAATGATGCGAGTCTTTCGAGAATCAAGTGGGTGGGATTTGCTTGTTTATTTGTTCTATTCTTTCCTGTACTCTAGAAGTGTCAAGAGCTATACAAGGTGTTTCCGTGAATTGCATGCCATATCATGGGTGGAAACGAACATTCATGAAATATTTCACGAGGCTTTTAAAATTGTTTACGTGGGATTCATACTTTTCAGAAAAGTAATTATAGTCAATTTTATGTCAGTTTAAAACATGTTTCTGACTCAAAATTATATTTTAAAATTTCACCTTCCTGTTTAATTTATTAGAGAGTTCACTCTTAAGTGAACATTAAATGTAAGATCTTATCATCTCTTATCTACAACCTTTAAATTCACTGGTGGTCTTGGTTTTTTAAGAAGGAAAAAGAGATATTGAAAGTGTATCAGTGCTGTTTGCAAGAAAATTAGTAATTAATTTTAATTCTTAACATAATATGCAGTTGGTCATTATCGAGATGAAATTGAGTTTTTTGATTTCAAATAGGCAATATAATCGATTGGTGAAAAATATGAAGCCGGATATGGTGCAATATGACAGGGAGAGAGAGAAACTTGGAGAAGCATTTTATGGCACTGCTAATACCATACTTCATGGTTTACATGAAGATACTAAGGAAGGCATAGATCGAATGGTGGAAGATCTTGAAAAACAGTAAGTACTGCTCTCAAAATTGCGAATTAAATATAAACTCAAAGAAGTATAGTATTACTATATTATTAACTCTTATTTCAGGATTTCAAAACGTGAAAAATACAGCCGTAGGCGCATGCACAATGATGATGCTGATATTGATTACATCAATGAGAGGAATATGAAGTTTAACAAGAAACTGGAGCGCTTTTATGGTGAACACACAACTGAAATTAAACAGAATTTGGAGAGAGGAACTGCTGTGTGATATGTGTATATATGTCTGCAGTGTGAATATTTTGTACATTTATATAGATTCTGTGTATATTTCACATTACAGGATGAATGCTCTTGTGACAGTTTGTTGCAAATAAATAATACATAAACACATTTCTTAATTTTTTCAGGAATTCTTTATTTTACAATATCACATTTTTTATTTTCATGGAAGTTTTATATATTTAAGTTCTTATATTCTACAGTTCTGCCGGTAATGGTTCTCCTTGGAGTGCAGCAATAATATTTTTTGCAGTCAAAATACACATGTCTTCCCTAGTTTTTGTAGTGGCACTTCCTATGTGAGGTATAATCACTGCAAGGAAATTAATCATTGGAATTAGTAACGATGATAAAAGAGAAAGTGTGTTTCTCATTCAAGCAGTTTTGCTATACTTCCAACATCCTTTCTTTGTCAGGAGAATAAGTAATGTAATTGCGAGCCAATTTTTCGACAGAAAATCTTTTATTCCTGGGCCCTCGTAACCAAAAAGTAAATCTTTTTTTTTCTTTACTACTGTCTTGTCTATATATTACAAAAATGCATATCAAAGATTGGTTCAGTTTCTATGGGAATTCTTGAGTATAATTTTGAAGGGTTTAAAAGAAATGGCATCTTTCAGTGTGATGCACCCAATAAAATACTAGAGAATATCTGATCTTTGAAAGGTATTAGAAAAAGGCCCGAAAAATCAAATATCCTTCGTGGTTACTATAAACCACTTGTTGAAACATGAAATCAGACTAACAAAGTGCACAAAGTCTATGAAGAACTTTTATATCTAAAATTGTTTCAGTTTGTGATGGTTTCTGTAGTATATTTAATAAAAGATACTGATTTCAGTCTCGCTATTGAAACATTATTTGATACCTTGGTTTTAGTTAAAGGTGCAAAAATTCTCTAAGAACTCAAATCGAAATACTGCAAAAATTAAAAAACAAAAAGCAAGAGCCATTTAAACGTTTATAAAATGAAAACTCTTTAATTCAGAAAATTTCTCCACAAATTTTAATTAATTTTTTTCATTTCATTTTTAATAAATTTTATTTCTGCATGCATTGCTAGTTTGTGCAGGTTGTATTTTTCTTCGCTACACTAGCATTGCCTATTTGGAATTCACAATATCTACTGACACTATCATGCTTCATGTTCGTTTCGCACAAATACATGAATGTGTGCAGTATATTTTTGATTGTGTAGACAAGATAAAAACACATTTGTCTTTCTAATTAACTTATACTATCTATCAAAATTGTTTATATTTTGAACTAATGAACAAATAACAATTTGATAAATAATAGTCAAGCTCAAAGAGGACTGGTTTTTAATTATCGGCCCCTTAAATTGGTTTGTTGGAACTCATCTACAGGGAGTTGATATGGGCCACTTTGAGAATGTCTGCATTAAATCATGAAAATAATTGAAATAATTTGTATATTTCATCAATCATTTTAATAAATGGCTTTTGGTAGAGCATTGTTAGTTCTGCAGGGAAAAGCCTGGAAATTTTAACTCTTTTTTTTGGGGGGTGGAAGTTCGAATTTGAGTCAATTTGAAACAATTATACCACTAATTAACTTCTAAGCAACAGAAAAAATTTGAACATTTTTGCACATAATATTTGCATTATTGCCCAGTCAAAGCTTCTTCTAAACTTCAAAAATTGCCCCTCACAAAAACCATAAGTTTGGAATAATACATTATGTATTTGGTATGTTGGTGTTCTAAGTGGACTTAAACATTAAATTTGAAAGGAAATTTATTTCAGATATTGAGTTGGGTTTTGTGATATTTTTAGAGCACAAGTATTCTCAAAACAAGTCATAATATTACTACAACCAAAGGTTTATTCTTTATTATATTCTCCATCTCAACCACATTTTTGCCCAGTTTCCCTGATCCATTGAGCAAATGCTGAGATGGCCCCTTGTTTTGCTTCTGGAAATAAATGTAGCTTCACTAGGTGCATGTTTTGTTGAACTCTCCTTTTGCTTGTAATGGCAAGAGTAGAAGTAAGGGCGAGTTATTACTTTGTTAACAGTGCAAAAAAATTATACTTGCAATTCTATTACCGATGCAAATAAGTTTTGTATAACTCAGAAACAAAAATGTCTATTTTTTCAAATATTGCTAATCTTGCAATTTTCAAAATTTATTTTTATTTATGTTAATCTTTTACTCATCTTTCAACTATTTATAGGTAAAATGACAGGAAGAGATTCTGAAACTCGAGAAAACATGTGCAGATAATCTTCTCCCCCATACGTCACATATAGTTTTTTCTTTTTTTGACTAAATAAATCTAAATCTATTTCATGTTTTTCACTGTTACCCCCATGAACTTTCAGAAGCCAAAGGATTGTGTCTAGGTAGGAAAAAAACAAGAAGCAACTGCAACACTTGAATGCCAATATAAATTAAGTTTCTCTTTTTTAAGTGTCAGAAATAACAAAAATTTCCCATTAAACAACTCCAATATTCTGTATTCAAAGTAGTCTCTGCTGTAATGTTACTTGGCGTTCACATTATTTGTAGGTTTCTCATGCAGATTTTTTGTTACTTTTCATATTGATTGTCCTGGTATTATGCATTACCCTTAATTTTCAAGTTTGAGTTAAGTATTTTTCTTGTTGAATACTCTTAGTGTAGCTCAGTATGTTTGAAAATTTGTGAAGATGAGTGAGTGAAAATCTAGAAATGACTGAGGAGAGAATTAATATTAGGCTGCATCTTGTTCTCAAAAACGATTGTCTTCAGCTTTTCTGCATTTCCTTGCCATGCTCTCTTGAGTTGATATTTACTGTTTCATTACTGCTTTAGCTAAAAGAAGAATGATAATCGTACAAAAAAGAATTTACCTAACCATTCACGCTCTTTAATGATTTTGTTCCTATTTTACTGGTTCATTTTTTTTGTCAAATCTAAATTAATATACATTTAGAGTTTCACTCTAAACAAACAAAACTAATCTCTTGTTTTTCCCCCCTCAGAGGGGGGGATCTTTGATCTTTATGGATATGATGGATAATGAAATTAATAGTAGAGATTGATTGATGGGGCATACCAATGGAATCGGGAGGGGAAATGTGAGTACCCTGAGGAAACCTGCCATGAACCCGCTTTGTGCACCACAAATTTCACTTGTGATCAAACCCAGGCATCAGTGGGGTGGAAGGCATACAGTCTGACCACCAAGCCATGGTACGAGCTTCACGCTTCTTTACAATTTTTGGATAAAACATGAAAAATAATATTAAGATACAATGTTTATTTTCACCCACAGTATCTGGATCAGACCCCAGATAATTGTAAATTTATTTTTATTTCTGGAGAAATAACCAACTTTGTTTTAACTGGATGCATTTCCTCACAAAATGGGTCAGTAAATTCACATTCAAGGGGGAAGTCATGCGAGAAAATCACTTTAAACCAAATTATCATGTAGCTTAATAAATTCTCATGATCATTACTAATTTTTTTATAGCAAATTAAAAATTAAAATAAGTTTTAACATCTTTGATAGAAAATAAAAAAATTAACTTTTTTATGGCAAATTGAAATGTGATTTAAATTACCCAATGTTAAGAAATTTATAATTATTGTTATAACTTAAGTTATTAAGAATTAAAAGAATAGAAGCAAATTAAAATTATTATACAAGGAATAGTTTCAGCAAATAGGAAATAAGATAGCAGTTGTTTTAAGAATTAAACTGAAGAAGGTGACCTGAACAAAAAACTCCAATCATCCAGCATAAAATTATTTGTATTAAATAACTACACCAGATCAGTCAGCTTTGTGATATTGTAGCTTTTTTATGTAAAAACAAAAACAATTTACCTACCACAGTTTTTTAATTGAAGTAACGGATGGTCTGGTGGTAGAGGTTCGGGAGTCATCACATCAAGACCAGCAGCTGCAATTTTTCCACTTTCTAATGCTCTTTGAAGAGCTGGTTGATCTACAACTCCTAAGAAGAATCACAAAGCATTACAACTCTGTCAGCTATTTATGTGTTTGTCAGTAAAATCAAATGGTGTACCTCCTCTGCTGGTATTCACAAATATAGCACTAGACTTCATCTTGGCAAATGTTTCATCATTGAACATCTCCTTAGTTTCTGGAGTCAAAGCACATGTCACTACAATGAAGTCGCTTTGAGCCAAAAGTTCATCCAGAGGCACTCGGATACCACCAAAAGGTTTGGCTTCTGGTTTGTCACTGCGCGATGTGTATAGGATTTGAGAAGGGTTGAATGTGTGAAGCCTTTTGGCCACTTCAATGCCTATTCTTCCCAAGCCAACAATACCCACTGTTGAAGTGGCAAGACCAGGACCACACATCCACAGAGGTGACCAAGAACCCCATCCACCGCTGGAAATAAATGAAAACACTTAAGGCCTGTAAACGAGCCAAAAGTTAATATTTGAAGTACACAGAGTTTAATTACCTACTTAAGAATTTCCTGATGTGCCTCAAACAGCCTGCGAGATGTAGCTAGTAATAACCCTACTGTCAGTTCTGCTACAGCATCTGTTAATACATCTGGAGTATACCCTAATTTGATGCCTCTTTTCTTTATTTCAGGCACATCAATATGATCATAACCAGTGGACATGGTTGCAATAACTTTTAATGATGGACCTGTGCAGTCAGTATGCAATATATAAGTAAAGATGATTCTCACTAACATTATAAGGTTACACATACAGCTATTATGCTTTTGACAACTTGCCTGCACTCTCCAATAATTCTTTATCTATTTTATCGGTTAGTAGGCAAAATAGGGCATCCTTGCCTTTCACTTTTTTTAGAAGCTCTTCTCTAGGAACTGGTTCTAATGGCTTGCTCCAAATTTCTACATCGCATCTTAAAAAATGAAAAAAATAATTCTCATATTTTATTGACATTCAACCAATTCTTCTCATTAATGAAAATTGTGTGAATGGCTTAATTGTAAAAAATAACAATTAATTTGTAGTGTACAGTAAAACAGCATGAAACATCACAGTTAAAATGAATAGTGATAAAAGGATATTTTATAATTAGAATTTTATTAGAATCATTAGAATGTTTGTAAATCTTAATTGCAACTTCAGTGTTAAGGAAATCTTAAGGAGCACTGCCTGTCTTAGGCTATGGAATTTCCACCCTATTACAGTGAAAAAAAAACACACTAAATAAATGCCTAGTTCAAACTTCAGATTTGTACTGTATACAAATATCTACACATGCAATGGTAAATTATTCCAGGAACAAGTTGTATAGGAATCTCATTACAGAAAACAGGGGCTTTGTTTGAGATGTTTGAGGCAAGTCACACACTAGTAATGTGCAATAAGAATCATATAATGTGGTGTATGGTGGTTTATTAACACATATGTATTAAACTGCTTGTAATAAAAGACTAGGTTTGTCAAGATTTAAAAATCCCCCAAACTTGGGAGACTTTTATCTGAAAAGTAGTGGGTAAAGTTAGATTTATTTTAAGCAATCATAATAGCACTGAAAGTATTAAATTTGGTTTTATATCTCTGAGCTAAGCAATACTAATTCAGATGTTCATGGACATCGAACACTAATCGTAACAGAACAAAATAAGTGAATTAATCGCAAAAAACGCATCCATCGTCGCGAACAATACCTACTTTTGTTTCAGTAAATCAATCCCTTTTGCAGGACAGCCAGCGCGCGTTACATATACTTGAGGTTTTTCTTTACCCATGTTTAGGGAAGGTTGACAGGTACTAAATGATACTCTGCGTCCAAGAAAAAATGAACAATTTAATGCAATATTTTTGTATACATTGGTTTGAAAATAATGAAGTTTCATTGGTACAAAACGCACGAAAGAAGAGCAAAAGACACCCCACACACGCACTGAGCACGTACTGATCACTGGTACAAATACACTCTTCGGACAAGATAACACTATCATTCATGGCACCCTTCGTAAACAGAGCAATCCTTCAGACTCATTACCACAAACCACCACAAAATCAGCTGATTGGAAGGGCACGGGAATCGAATAAAATGAATACATTGAGATATGTGCTTCCTCCTGTGGACAAGTTACTGTACTACAGAGGTCACGTTTCGATGCAGATAATACAACGGAGTACAAAAATGTTCAGGTTAACTGCCCAATCTTTGATTTTTCCCCTGAAAAATTTTTGAAATAATGTATTCAACAAAATTTAAGAATAAGTAATACAAATGAGATTAACGTAGTTCTCCTTGCTAAGATTTGAAATTAAATTGACTAAATTTTTTAATGTAATAAGTATCAAAACAATTTATAAATTTCATTTATTACATCAAAATAACGTATGTAAAAAATATAAGAGAGTACAATTACCAATTTGTGTCATACTGTAGACATAGTGTCTTTGAATACATTCGTATCTTTCTTGTGACTACAATTTACGATGTCGACAATCTACGTTTTACTCCATCAATGAGTTTGACGAAGTGATTCGTCCGTGCGACGTACAGCCAGCGTACAGCTGAGAGGAGTTATTGTGGTGCTTGTGTGAAAAATATGTTAAAGTTAATGGGTATGTCGTGTGTTCAGTGAATTTCCTGCCTGGTACAACAAATTGGATTTATTTTCGGGTTTTCTGTGGTATGCTGGGTGAGTGTTAACCCATTCTGAACTCAGAAATTTCTCCAGAATATTTTTGTAATCCACAAACTAGTTTCATTTACACATAAGAGATCGCTTGTACTGTGTAACATAATGAGGAAAACACTAGAATTAACTTTTAATATGTTCTTTTTTATTTCTTATATTTTTCTTGATTATAGTATTATAGTTTGATTTTCCAATCGACTTCCTTGTTGGAGTAAAACTGTAACTTACTTTCGTAGATTCGCCTTCTCTCAAATTTAGTATAGTCCACAAGTGTTAATTTCTTATTCTTTCCGGAGCAGTCGCATTAATAATTATATAAAACAGTAGTGTAGTGATATAAGACATTCATATATATTTCTAATTTGTTTAACATACTACTTTGATATTCTCATTTACGTAGCAAAAAGTGTTCTGGGATGTTAGTCAGTTCTTTTATTTAATACACCGAAATCTATTTGTGTATTGTTTAGCTACTTCTGTCTCGACCAATGTTAGTGGAATACCTATTTTAATGAGTCAGTAGAAATAGTTATAAAATATATTTATTATTTGACGAATGGGGATCCGAAAACTTACATGATTGTTACTTGCCAGTAAACCAGTCATTGTTATTCATTTCGTTCTAAATATTCTATTTAGAAATAATTTTGTTCCTTTTTTTATGATTTTTTTTTTAATTTCTGGACATCATTAATATTGTGGAGGTTGGGGGTGATTTTATTCCTAGTTGTGTTTTTCAAGATTTTTGTCATTTTCATTGATTTATGTTATAGTTTGTGTCATTTGACTAAACAATTATGCATCACATTATATATGCCACACATTTACTTTCTTTCTCATTTGTTCACAAAGAAGCCCGGCGTACTGTGCGCGGAAACGGGTTTGGCTAGCCTGTGCAACAGTTTGGTGTGCGTGGACGCGAGGGGTGTGGTTGGTCTTTTGGCCATTTTTATCTGCTGCTTGCTTTGCGACCTAAGGAGTGCTGCCAACTGCCCGCCCACGCCCCCAACACCTGTTCAAAGTTAGGCACCGTGAGGTTGACGCCAAAACCTTCACTCTCTCTCCCCTGACAGATGCGATTTCAGATTTCCGAATGGCTTAATGTTTTCGTATGTGGATCATAATGTGAAAACATTAATGCCATTTTACGAAAGTTGATTCGGTCGCTATTTTTGTCAATTGTTCATATTATTGATGTCTCCCCGCATAGTTATCCCCATCCCATAAAGTTTTGTTCGTCTCCCATCTACCAATTGGTCGTGAAAAGAACTATTCTTGTGATTTATTCCCGTCACAGGAATCTTTTCATATCTTGCATTCTTAACACAGAACCTCGTGCCAAAGATGTTATTTGGAGCATTCCTCATATGAACGGATATGAGAGAGCATTTAAAGTTTTCGAGAGTTCGTTTATAAAAGAATGACAAGCGGTATTTTTAACTAAAACATCGTATTCTTTTTTTCACATTTTTGTTGACATTTGTTATCCTAGGTGTTTGTGTCGTGTCATTTTGATTGAAATAAGGAAGCCAAAGGAGAAAAATTAGTGTATTTCATTGGCGCCGATAACATAAAGGAAAATTTTAGAAATATATTGCTTAAATTCATTAAACTTATTGTTATAGGAACAAGGTTATGTTTGGTATATTTTATGTTTATGCCTCGTAATATATTATGTATACGTTTGACATTTATTTTGAACTTAATTTTGATATCTTGTTATTTGCAAAACTTTAATATCTTCTTAAGGGCGTTATTGATTATGAACTTACGACTAGAGAATGGAACTTTAGGTAAAACAAATCTCTAAAATAGATACGCAAAAGGCACTTAAAACTGTTACAAAAGGGGGAAAAAGGCAAGATAAAATCCATTATTTTTTTAAAATAAAGAGTTCATGATTACACCTACACAACGTTATAGAACACAGATTTTACAAGTTTCAATAAAAATAAAACAAAAACCTTAGATAAAGACAATTTATATTATGAGAGAAATCTTGCGTGACTAAATATTTTTAATTACCTAAAACAGGAGTGTTTTCTGAATTTTTCTATTGATGAAATTGTAACTTCTGCCTGGCAAAATGTACATCAATTGAGAGAAAGATTTAACGTCGGCAGAGTTTACTGAAGCAAATCTTAAACAAAGTAGGTCAGAAGGATTCGTTATTGTTGCAATCGTCTCCTTGCGTCCGCATTACCACCGCATCCGAATTTCCTGCAAGTTTTGCCAAATCAGAATTTTTACATGCTTTTATTATCAATGATTCTTTTCCCTCTGCCATTTCATAGCCGATATTCCACATCATTTTTCTCGAAGTTGTCCCCTTTCTGCTAATCGAGTAAAAGTTATTCGCAGAACACCGAAATGGGGTGCAAATGGCCATTTGTTGGTTCAAAAGAATAAAGAAGTTTCTTTGCTATTCCTACTGATTCATGCTATTTTCTCGAGTTGACCATAGCACTTATTCTTGAAAATTCAGAGGAAGAGTAAACAGCTCTGATACTCATGTTTAGTAGCATGATTTTTTCGCATTATTTGTTTTCAAACGTCGCGAAATAGGGTAACCAATTTCGGATTAATTTCGCTTTGTATTTATTTTTCGAACATAGGGAAAAAAAAAAATGATTATTTAATATTTAATTATAATTTTGTATAAAAGAGCAAGTATGTAATATTTATATATATATATATATATATATATATATATATATATATATATATATATATATAATATGACAAGCATTTATTTTATTTGGAATCGTTCATATAATAAATGAATAATTACTTTTGCTCATATTTACTTTGTGAATAATAACATAGCATAGGTCACAATAGAATCCTCTTCGGTCTCATTCCCCCATTCTGAGCCATTCTGATAGAGAAGGTTGATCAACCTTCTCCATCGGGATGTTGGCTTTGAGAACCGCTTTAGTAGTATCTTTAATGAATTCTTCTTTTTTAGTCTTCGCTTTGTTTTGGCTCCCGAACGAAAGTTCTGAAGTTGGTTGGCGCTTTGGTGCTTCACAACTATTTAATTCACGTTTCATATGCTCCTTGTTTTTTAAACACAATGTTTTTATACCCTGTCTCTTCTCTCCCTCTCGCGGCGCACATCGCAAAACCTGTATATTAAAATACGGCTTTCAGAAGATTATAAATATTCATTGGAAAATTCTTTCGCTCTCCTGTGAACAGAAAGACGTCGTCAGTCGACACGTCTTCACAGCTGTCGATGGGTCCGCGATGCCAAGGAGATTGGGTCGTCGCCTCGCCCAGGGAGTCTTTGAGATTACCTCCATTTCCCGTTACATAATCCAAGTGGGTGGAATCAACATACAGGAGGATACGACATTACTTATAATTACACGAATTGTCGGAAAAAAAAAAGAATTTTAGGCGAAGTTGCGTCGTATTCACCCACGAAACTTTCCCTGGGGAACGTTTCCCCACAAGTGACGAGCTACATATGTAAGACGTGCCTTCTACTGGCGAGAATTTTGCATTTATCGTGAAAATATGCCAATTTCGCTTGAAAGTACCGTGTCGCGAAAATTCGCGAGAAAATTAGAGTGAATTCTGAGACCCAATAACCCAATTCGTCAAGAAATCTCGAAACATCTCAATTTAGTTTTTTTCCCGCATTTATTGTTAAAACAAAAAAAAACAACAAAAAAAAAAGCTCGTGCTTCTACCCATGGTTCTGGGTTGAGGGGACAGGAGCAGTCTGGATTCTTGAAGGACATTAAAAAAAATCTTAATAGTTGCATCCAAATTGTCCTCATCCGTAAATAAACGTTCACTTTTTCTTCTAGTGTGAAATACATGAGCCAGATAGATTGAGGAATATCAGTTCTGGAGAAAATCGGATAAACGGTTTAGCTGCTAACGTTGTTTACCGACGGACAAACGGAAAGATCGACTTACGCAGTCATTCAATTTTTCGGTATGAAGGACCCACAAAACGTGGTTTCCGGCTACACCACGTGACACCACGGGATTTATCCACATTTTTGTTATCAGCGCCCAGTTATTATAGAGTTTTTCTGTCGAAAATTCACCGTTTTTTTTCGCGCAGCATTACATAACTTTCTCTCTACTCCGTAGGGAGAGAGTAAAAGTACTACAATGTCGATTTGAATTCATGGGGCCTTATTACCTTCAATGAATTTGTGAATAACTGTGAAACGAGGAGTTACTGAAATTTTCTAAACATTCAATGATGATCAGAAACAACTTAGTTGATAACTTTTCTAAAGAAGAGTCAAAAGCTGTATTAGTTAGAAAACGGCCTTTAGCATCAGTTCTCTCGTCAATACAAATCATAAGTTTCATATATTTAGTTTCTTCTTGAGTTCTTATACCTGCAAGGTAACACTGAGACATTTCGCAAAGTTTATTCACGTTGCACAGATTCTTTGGTGTATTTTTCCAAATTATGTCTG